AACGACCCAGGACATACTGTGGTCGGTAAACAGTCAGGTAATATGTGAAATGCCATTATTTTTAAATTTAAAATTTGTGTTGATACGATTCGATCCGCCTTTTCATGAGGAATCCGAATATGGTCTTGGATTTTATTTTTGACCTTGTTTTAGTGAAGTAATCTATCAAAAACCGTTCGTAAAAATTATGCCTAAAACTTGCTTTTTTGGTTTCTCTGCTTAAAGTATTTTGAGTCTATATTCCTGAAAATAAAAGCTTTTTAAAAAGTTTTTTTTACCAGAACACTCAGAATGAAAAGCTCTACAATCACTGAAAATTTCATTGAATTCGACAACCATTTTGTTATCCATGCCTAGGACTCCAAGGGGTGTCCCATACGAAAAATGAACTTTTTTACCCTACCTTATTTCAAAAATTCTTAAGAAGCGGGATGAACTATATACATGGGCTAATAGACTAGGACTAGTACTACACCAAACGATTGTCCAGTATGCTCCCAAATTCTGCGTTCGTGAGAAATGTTGACCACAATATGTCAATTTTTCACTATATGTGAATATAGGGTAACGGCTTGTATTACCTACTTCTCAATATAAATCCATTGAATCTATGATTATTATATTCTTAAATAGACACTAGATATATGTATTTAACACGACTAGAATCGATCAATAATTATCATATTATGATGGAGAATGGTATGCGCAAAAATGGCTATTTTTTGTGTTTTTTCATTTTTTGCATAATCTTGTATAGGACCAACCCGTAAACTAGTAGTATGAATGAGCTGATATAGTGTTGTGCACAATATATTAACTTAGTGCTGCACACATTTATAGAAATTTCCAGTCGTTCGGTTTACTTACAGAAAAAAGTCAATACTCCAAAATAGCGAAAAATCATGAAAATGGTCATTATAGGTAAAAGTTTATATTTTGTGGTCTAAAAAAAACCATGATGCCGACTGAAAGTTAGTAGAATTTTTTTGTAGATAGCCTTAGGGTATTAAGAACTTGACTTGCTGAAAGTTTCAGCTCGGGCGGAGAAGGTCACCGTATACGTGGAAGATTTCCAGTGGAACTACCCACATATTGATCTCTGCAAATTACTTTCAACACTTGAGCGAGCTCTTGAAGTGGAATAATTGAAAAAAAATAGACATGCTACGCAATTCAGTAGTACGTCGAAGACGGAAAAAACCGATGTTGAATTTATTTTCACCTTTTCCCTTTCTTTCATGATCATGTTATATAACAAGAGCAAAAAACGCAATACACTGTAGAAACATTGAGAAACGAATATGAACGACGATGAAAACAAACAACAAATAGGTATTGTATGGTTCGACCCGAACCTAGAAGTCAGCAAAGCTCGAGAAACATATATTTCACGTCTACGAAAGCTGGTTGATTTTGTTTACTTCAATGACAAAGAAGACCCATGCATTGAATCAATTCAAACCAGTACGGACAAGAAAATTATTGTCATTACATCAGGAACATGTGCGAAAAGATCAAGATTCTTACCAAATGTTATTGAACTAAAACAGGTTGACTCGGTCTTTATCTTTTGTTACAAAAGAGATTCTTACCTAAATTTAAAAGATCAATTCAGGAAAATTCTCGATTTGGTGGTCGATTTCGAATGCTTACTAGAATTTGTGAAACAACGAGTTTCTTTCCTTAACCAATTATTTCAAGAGTTCGCCATCCTAGACTATTATCATCCTTCGACTCAAGACGGCACTGAACTCTCTGCCAAATTCATCTGGTTCCAATTAGCAAGAGAAATCATTCTCCACCAAGCTTACAGTGAAGATACGAAGCAAGAAATGATCAGATTTTGTCGACATTACTATCGTGATAATCAATTTGAACTTAAGAAGATTGATGATTTCGAGCAGAATTATCGTCTGGAAAATATACTTCGTTGGTATACGCAGGAATGCTTTGTCTACAAAATGATCAATAAAGCGCTGCGATCGGAAGATCTGGAGCAATTGCTGCGTTTTTCATTTTTAATTGCTGCTCTTTCCAAAAGATTAGCCGATGGACAAAATAACCCACGTCGAAAGATGCCGTCAACAATAACTGTATATCGTGGTGTTCGTTTACATAGAACGGAAGTTGATCGACTAATGAAGAGTGTCAATCGTTTGATATGTAATCAAGGCTTTTGGTCCACCAGTCTCCGTCGTGGTCGAGCTTTGACTTTCGCGACAAGTTATGCTGCAACCGACGTGATTTGTCCTGTTCTTTTCGAAATCAGTTGTGATACTCGTGAGGATCGTACAAGGGCTGTCTTTGTTAATATTAGCGAAGAAAGTTCTCATCCACTGGAAGAAGAGATCTTGTTCGATTTGGGAACTCCATTTAAAATCACAGCAGTCATCCGGGACGACGAGAAATATGTCATTCGGTTAGAACTTGCTGGTGATTCTTTATCCATCACTGACTCCTATTTTCTACAGAAACGTCATGCATTAGAAAATAAACGTACTGATTTATCTCTAGTCATGCTATTATGTGAATTGGGGCGATATCGAAAGGCGCAGCAATACTTAGAACAGCTTCTGCACAATGCCAATGACGAAGATCGAATCTGGATCGAATTGAACCTGGGTCGGACGAAGTTCTATCAGAATCAACTGGATCAAGCGAAGACACACTATGATCAAGTGTATAAGACTCTGATCACAGTCAATCCACCTCGGATTCTGGATGCTACTATCGCATTGGAGAATATTGCTCTGGCATTAAAAGAGCAAGGAAGACTGGAGGAAGCACTGAAAAAGCATCAGGACGTATTGAATATGCGGGAAAAACAGTTGAGACCCAATGACATAAATATTCAACGCAGCTTGATTAATATAGGAAATGTTTACCACGCATTAAACAATTATGATACAGCTTTGCAACACTATCGTAAAGCTTTACAATTACACAATGATTATCATTCAGAAAATCTTCGAGAAAAAGCCATCTGTCTTAATCATATTGGCAGTACTGAAATCGAACAGGGAAATTATAGTGCTGCATGCGATGCTTTCCAACAAGCGTTCCAGATTCGTCAACAAATTTTTCCACCGGATCATCCACATATAGCTGAAAGTTTATATAATATTGGTATTGTTCAACGACAACAAGGCGATTACTATGATGCATTGGACTCTTGTAGACGAGCATTGGCTATTCGACAGAAACTTTTCTCGGACGATCATCCACTCGTCGCAGATACTCTTGAGCTCAAAGGCAAGATTTATCACAGCCAAAACAGATTTCAAGATGCACTTGAAATTCATCGAAAAGTACTTCATATTCGGGAAAAATCTTATCCGAACACACATGTTGATATTGCGCAATCATTGAACAATATTGGTATCAATTTAAAGAAGACAAACCAACTTGATCAAGCTCTCGAACATTCTCTCGACGCTTTAAAAATTCATTCCAGAAATATCGCATCCAAACATTTTGATCGTTTCGCTTGTCTAAATAATATAGGTGACATTTACAGAAAACAAAAGAACTACACGGAAGCAATGGAATATCATCAGAAAGCTTTGAAATTAGCTCAACAATATTTTTCAGCAAATCATCCCTATACAGCCGATTCTCTTCATAATATTGGGATTGTGTTCCAAGCACAAAACAAGTACGACAACGCCCTGAAATTCTACTCTCAATCACTGGCCATTAGAGAAAAAACATTATCCCCAAATCATCCAAATATTGCTGCTAGTTACAGAAGCATAGCTCATCTCTATTGGAACAGTAATCACTTTGATGAAGCACTGCAATTCTACCAACGATGTTTGGTCATCCGTCGAGAACAAAACCGCAGACATAGCTGTGATATTGGCGATGATCTTTACTATGTTGCTCTGACGTATGAAAAGTTAAATCAAATCAATGAAGCACTGAAATATTTGGAAGAGGCGCGGTCATTCTATCAGATGACCAAATTTGAGAATCATTCCACACTAATGGACACTGAAAATGCCATTCGTAGACTATCTGTCTCCACTGTTCCTTGTCAAGAACTTGAGTGATTCATTTTTCTAATCAAATAAAGAATAACTGCGATATTCTTGTCATTGATCAATACCTATTGATACGTAAAGATGTAGGACAAACAGAACACATGGCTCATCAAATCCCAGATAATGCCTTTCGGAATTCTGTGTTGTTCTGGCGCCATTCACACAGTCAACGTATCAAAAGGAGTAATTTAATATCGCATGTGGAGTATTCCATACTTGCCTTCAGGGAGTGAGTATTTTGTCGACGGTATCCTACTTGGAACCGAGTCGGTAGGCCAGCACTGGACCAACCGATCTGCCAGTTCGGTCCGCTTAAACCAGAGATCAGCACAGAAGGACTTTTTCTGCTCTGTCCTGCCGCTTCACCATCACTTGTCCCGCTGTGCGGCAGGGCACAACGAGAAATGACTCCCCATCTTGTCCTGTTTGGCAGGACAGGAGGGTGTGGGTGTAGGTGTGGGTGTGGGTGTGGGTGTGGGTGTGGGTGTGGGTGTGGGTGTGGGTGTGGGTGTGAGTGTGGGTGTGGGTGTGGGTATGGGTGTGGGTGTGGGTGTGGGTGTGGGTGTGGGTATGGGTGTGGGTGTGGGTTTGGGCGACGAAATAGCGGCACGCACACCCACCCATCCACACCCACACCTTCACACTCCCACACACCCACACCCACACCCACACCCAGACCACGATAAAAAGATGGATGATTTTTTGGTTAGGAATGCTAATAAGGATATTCAAGTGTCCATGTTCTATGGAAACCAAGTATGATCAAATGATGAACAAAAAATAAATACGACGTTTTTCTTTTGTATAGAACCAAGGCAATAATTCATCACGTATAAGAACACATCAAAAAATGAACAAACATTACGATTTACCTACAGATGATTGGAAACTGACATGCAAACTCTTACCAAATTATAAGACCTTGTCTTCTCATGAATTCAAACATTTACTCTGCAAAACTATTCAAACGGATCATTATCAGATTCAACAATGGTTAGCAAGTACTGAAATTTTACAATTCTCACAACAACTTGCTATATTCATATGTACTTCCTTTCAATTGAAAATCGAAGAAGATTATTGGTACTACATTGGCAATTTAAACATGCCTGTTGTAACTTGGTTATCAGAAGTATCGAAAGATGTAGCAGAAAAAAATTTCATTAATTGGGATCATTCGAAAACAAAACTAAATATTCAATATCAACAAAATCTCATTCGAAATAAATTACAACGGTTAGAAATTAATTTATACAATTATTTACAACGATATTCATCAAATTTAAAAATGAACGATGATAAAATATCTTTTGAACAATGGATGAATATCATATGCAATGCTCTTTTTGTTCTCATGCAAAATGATTCGCATCATTTCAATACAAATTTCGAACAGAAGAAAATCTTATTTACGTATAATATCAATGATGCAAATCTTGTCAAATCATTCTATGATTTAAATCCAATAGAAGAACAGGTGAATATTTTATTTAGCCTTACTTTCTCTTATTGTTCTTCTCATAGGTTTATTCGGTAGGTTATCATTTGCCCCAAATTGTGGTTCCCTAAATTAACCCCCAAATCATATCCCCATTTGGGGAAAAAAAAGCAATTGATATAAATTCTGGTCACCAAATGGGGATTTTAGTTTTGGGGAATTTTTGATTTGGGGATATTTTTCATAAGATACACTATATATATATGCTGTAATTCAGCAGCATCTTGGTTCTTGTACTACGCTGTATCAACTAGAATAAAATTTTTTAGCATGATCATTCGATGTTTATCATTTGTCCCATACCAGTCACCACAAATGCATTTCAAAAAAATCTCCATTTGGGGATTTTTTTCTCATGAAATATATTATACATCCTGTAGGTCAATACCGTTCTTTTTCTCTTCCAAGATCGCATTACCAAAAATAACACTTTCCAAGTCATATCTATTGGAATTGTTCAGTTTGAATTAGCTAAACATAATAACAAGAGTTCTATGATGAATTTGGTGACCAGAATGTATTTTGGATTACTACAATGAACACTATTGCAATGAATCTGGTGACCAGAATGGGTTTTGGATTATTACAATAAACACTTTTGCGATGAATCTGGTGACCAGAATATATTTTCGGTTACCAGAAAGAGGACGTTGTGGTAATCCAAGACACATTCTGGTCACCAGATTCATTGCAAAAGTGTTCATTATAGTAATCCAAAATACATTCTGGTCACCAGATTCATTACTTTTGGTAATATGGACTTGAAAGAGAAAAGAATGGTATTGAAATACAGAATGTATGATATATTTCATGTGAAAAAATCTCCAAATAAGGATTTTATTTGGGGAATGATTTGTGGTGACCAATTTGGGGTAAATGATAACCTACCATCCATGATATATGTAATAAAACATCCCTAAATCAAAAAGTTCTTGAATTTGAGTGCCTATTTGGTCACCAAAATTTATTTAATTGTTCAATTGTCCACAAATGTGGACCTGATGTAGGGACCAATTTCGAAAACCACAATTTGTGGCAAATGATAACCTACCGCTGAATTACAGCATATATATATAGTGTATCTTATGAAAAATATCCCCAAATCAAAAATTCCCCAAAACTAAAATCCCCATTTGGTGACCAGAATTTATATCAATTGCTTTTTTTTCCCCAAATGGGGATATGATTTGGGGGTTAATTCAGGGAAGCACAATTTGGGGCAAATGATAGTCATTCGTTTATTCTGCTCAACAAATTTGGTGATCAAAATTAAGAGCATGTGAGAAGGTTATTAGTCAACAAAAGAAACGTTCGTCAAGGAGTAATCAAGTTATGGTTAAAGGAATAATTCCAGGTAATCATTCAATAACAAATATGAAACAAAATGAATTCGACATTGATGGTAGTGATCAAAAGAATCAATTATCATCTATGAAATGCTTTTCTCCTTCAATGCGTGCTATTATTCAAGCTCGTCTCGATAATATCGAACAACGTGCTCAACAAATTATAAAATTTATTCATGTTTCGTCTCAAGAATAACGATCTATTGCTTATTATAGATTTTACTGACTCTAGCATTCTCGATTGTTCATTTTAAGCAATATTGTAGAATATAGTTCTATTGTAACATTTCATTCATTTCTTTTTTTGTGTCATGTTTCATAGTTTGTTTTTCGAGTAGTAAACAAATTTATCTTCTGATGTTTTGCTTTTCTTTTTTCTTCAAGATCTCACTTTCAAAATTCTATCTTTGTTGTGTTGTATCTCATTCAATTTCAAATGGCAATGACAACATCAAATCTCAATTCTACTAAAACTATTACCCGTCGTAGTACAGTTTCTGACGCAAAAGTAAGACAGAAGAATAACAAAGATCTTTCTATTCTATGAACAATGATTTTCTTCTTAGATAGTCCATGAGCAAGTCCTATCGAAAGAGCTTGGCCAATTTTCACCTTTTAAAATCAATTCAACAAAAAAACAAATAACAAGATTTCCTATAGAAATCATTCCTTCGAAAACAATTGGTAGCGAATGGCAATCTATATCCGACTATCTTTGTTCAAAAAATCCATCTTTTGAAAACAAACTTCGAACCATTTTACCATCAACGATGAATTTAGATGAAATAAGAGATATTGCTATTCTCATGCATAAATTTATATCGATTGACATAGTGCAATCTCTCTGGATAGACTATCGAAAATATGGTATGGAAGAAATACAATCCAAGCGACCAATCAATGTATCCGATACCAAACTTTCGCAAAAAGAAGTTTCATCACTCATGAAAAAATTAAAAAATGATAATATTATTGATGAAAGTAGTTGTTTAATTTTTGCCAATCAATGTTTACAAGAATTGTACAATAAAAAGGAACATTATCGACACGAATTAAATGTCAAGACCACTCGTTTATCTGGTTATAACTTTAGCATGGAATATACCATTGAAAAATTTGTACAACAAGGACTTCAATCTTTACACATTGAAATCAATGAACATATTGCCACGGTTCAATATCATTATACCAATATAATATTTCAACACACTTATTTTGCTCAAAATCCTAATACAAATCAAGTAAACTTGTTTTATATCGAGCTTATTTTATCTTACTATTTTAGATACAATCTTCGCTCTTAATCATATAAAAAAAGAAATTAGATAGGAAAAACAAAAACTTTTTTTCATTCATATCCTTCTCTCTTTCAGATAGAATCTTGACGAAAAACAAAAATATAATCGGTATAAAATACGAAAGAATAGGAAAAATTCAAAATATTTTCTATTGCATATGGATTTCAATACAATTGATTTAACTCGAGCAGAACAAGCTACTTCTTTGTTAATTAATAATAAACAACAAGAATATCAATCAAGAACATTATTAGATAAAAATAATGGACGATATGCTTATTTACCTATATTTCCAACAGAAATATTCATTACCGACCTTATATCAAATTAGATTTGTATAACATAGCAATCATTGCCGTTTGTAAGTAAATCTATCTTTATCAACCACATCATCATCATCATCATCATCACTATCATTTATACCTGTTTTTCTTTCACATTGATTTAGTACCAGATGATTGTTCAATGATACTACGATACATTATCGAAACATTATTCATTATTCATGGTGAAACTAAATTGAATATGATTTGTCCACTTGGTAGTGATGCTGAAAAACGTTACGGTTTTCCGTATAACCTGGATTGGTGTGACAATTTGAATCAATCATCAATGTCAACCACGACATCAACTCAGTGACGTTTTAAACCCACAATGGTCACTATTATAAAATAACATTTAATCAATATAAGCAACTTTATTTCGCTCGTAGATAATAGTTAATCTTTAGTGTTTGTAATCTGTGTGCAAAATAGTTAACCTTAGATTAATGAAATATATTTGTGCATTTCTCCCAATATCATACTCAAATATAGTTTCATTCTAGATAAGTATAATCCTCCACGCACACTTACTAGTTTTCTGCTTAACTGAACAAACCTAAGACATTCTCATCATAAATCAAGCCATATCACTGCCAAAATACACGACAAATCAACCTATGTTCGCTGAAGATCTGTATAGATCATTAGACAACGGCTTGACTGAAACTAAAAATCAATCGATACACTAAAAACCTATCTCCACTAGCTCTGCATTAGTTATCAGAACTGCGAAAATACCACACCGGAAACCATATCCAGAATATACAAACATAATGAATGGAACACAAATAAAAAAAAACAACACCATCGGATGAAATTACCAGTCCACTCCAAAACGAACTCACATATTTCAAACACTTACCAGATTATCCCTAAAAAAACACTAAAATTACAAGCACTAACAAACCATTTGACATACTGCTGCTTCATAAAACTGCTCGTCATTTCCATTAATCCATCCAACTCGCACTAAACTATCTTCATTGCATCTACACTATCGAAACAACAAACGCCAAACCGGATACTACACATACCAACAAACAAAAATCTTCCGACAGAAGATTCTATGCTACTTTCCCATAGATTTATAAACATCTATTCCTTCCCAAAACACATCTCTCTGTGCCACAAAAAACACTATCAACTATGTCATGACAACGCTCAAAAATCTACGCCGAATACCACTCTTTCCGATTCGACTGCTTTTACACGCCAAATCGTAGCAGCATATCCCACAACATCCTTTATTTACACAATTGCTGAAGATGACCCTTAAGTAAGGTCGAAACCGGTCGCAAGTAGCTTGTGCTATTAAATAAATTTTATACACACCCACATCCCTATTATATGTAATTATAAACTATCTGACAAGAAGGACATTGGTC